TTAGTTTTAAATATGCCTGTTGATAGAGAACTTGACCTTTGACCTGCTTTCACGTTTCTGAGCTCTGACGAGATACCTTTTCACAATGCTTTACTTTTTCAAGGCCCGTGCTGCTTTATTTTTACAAGGCCTGAGGCCTATATCGGGTAAAGGCCCTTTTAGTTTCGTCAGCTTTTCTCAAGTTTTTTATGAAATTTCAGAGGTTTCATTTTTTGTTTTCCATCCGCAAAAGGCTGCAATCGACAATGGACAGCTGTGCAGATTAACATTGTTTTGCAGTGAAAAATGGGTTTTGCAAGCACGCGCAGATTTAGATGCTTTGCATGGGGAATGGACGTTGCAAACAAACGTACACACGCTTTTTTCTCGGAATTTGAAGTGACACCTAGTCAGTGCGGCTACAGTCTTCACCCGAATAGAACGCCCGGTCATTATCGCTGCATCCGGAAGAAAGTTGTGAAACGGCTTTCACCTTTTTGCAGTCACAGATGCGGATCCCAGAGCTCGATCCCCAGACCTTACCTTACCTTACATTACCTGTGTACAGTATCAAGTCGACCCTGTGTGTCTTGAACCCGTGACCTGTTTCTTAGTAGTTGAAAGTTTTGTGTCGTAGGTTTGAGTAGTTGTCGGGTCTTGAACCTTGGACCTGTTGAAGTAGGGGTCATACCTGCATAGGGGTCATAGTTGTTGCAGTCCTGAAAGGTCAAGGTCGTAGCTGCTACAGTCCTGAAAGGTCAAGGTCGTAGCTGTTACAGTCTTGAAAGGCCAAGTCCGCAAACTTCCTGAAGGTCCGGAAGTGGCCTTTCAAGTTTCTTCTCACGTTATACACAGCAGGCCAGAGGCAAGTGGGCAAGTGGTGAGTCTAACTTCGCTTAGTCAGTGGTACCCAGTCCCAGTCTCACTTTGTACAGTCAGCAAGTACCATGAGGGACTGTGTGCACAATGGGCCCGGTGGAAAAAGGGCAGACCAGCGACTTACAGAAGTATAAATCAAGAGGCAGCGCCCAGCCATTCATTCATTTTCTGCGTGAGCCATGCGGAAGCGCTGCCTTAGCGTCTTGTGCGAGGTGGTCTGCAGTTGCCCGAAGTCGAAGTGAGCTGAGAGGGAGAGAGCGCAGCCATAGCTGCTTGAAGTTAGGGATAGACGGCGGCCATAGCTGCCATAGCGAGTGTTAGGAAGTAGTGAGGGTGCCTGTCTGATACAGAGTGTGTGGGTGCGTGGGATATTCAGGGTGATCCAGAGTTGAGTGTATGCGAACAGTGGTGATGGACAGTGTCGGCAGTGAAATGTTTGGGTGATCAGGCACCATAGCCTGTTTGAAGCGAGTTTGTATCTGAACTGTGTTCTCGGTCTCCATGTCTTTGAGCTTTGTGTGGGCGCCTGGCGCCAGTTTGGTTTGCCATCTGTTTGCATGTATGCAAGTTGAAGAAGAAAGCGAGTCTGATTGCAGTTGGGCCAAATGCAGCTATGATGACCGGGCATTGTAGTCGGGTGAAGACGGTAGCCGCACATCTGACAAGTTTTTGGCGCACGCATCACAATTTACACAGACATGAAATCGCTGAGGTCATGACATGATTAAAAAGAATGGCGTCCGCAACATTGCTCATGTTGATCACGATCGTGTCCATTCCACACATCTATGGATGGATGCAAATGAAGCGAGAATACGATAAGAGATGCAGATGGACAAACAGTGTCGAACGTGTAGGCAGCAGCGAGGCTACGGGACAGGGAGAGGGAATTTGTCGTTTAGACCAAACAGATCTGTAACTTGGTGCAGATTTGTGACTTGGTACACGATACTTGTAATCGTACTAATTGCAGAATGTCCCCAAGCTTGTCGATAACGTTAAATTATTAGAGAAAGGACGGAGGGATGACAGAGAAAGGAGGGGAGGAGGAATAAAGGACGGAGAGAGTGCTGGAAAGGAGAGAGAGAAAAGAGGGATGGATGAGTGTATTGTGGACTTGAGCATGCTTTGATGCCACAAGGATTTCAGAATGTTGCAAGAATAGTAACCTACGAACGGCATACAGAAACATCGAGACTTTTCAGACTTCACCTCACTGTAATTGCGGTCAGATACGTGCACAAAAAATCCCTACCTAGTGTGCACATGCGCTGCGAATAATGCTGCAAGCCTGCAACCGATCACCCTCGCACAGAACAGCGAGGGAGGGGGAAGACTCGAATAAGTCACCACCCCCCAAACCCCTTGATTCTCCACCCTCCCAAAGAAACAAAACCAAAACCCCCAAAAAAACTTTGTAAAAGTAGTTCCACAAGGTAGCTCACATCATCAGTGTATGTGATCCCCCAACAACTATTGCTATTTACGACCTGCTGGGCCCACTACATAAAACTTATTTTCCCTCTCAGCTCAGCTCTAGAAGTTTTAAGTTCTAATTTCTAATTTCTAATTTCCAAGTGCTAAGTTTTCTAGGTTCTAAGTTTTCTAAGTTCTAAGTTTTCTAAGTTCTAAGTTTTCTAGCTTTCAATTGAGCTGCAGAACCTACACGACTTACAGACAATCCTACATTAATAGCAGGTCGGATTCCACGATAAAACAGTTCTGTTTCCAAAAAGATTTGTCCGTCCGTAATGGACAATTTTTCTCGTTCTTCAAAAGCCCAAAGAAAAGGGGTTAATGCTCCTACATCCATAGCATGGGTGGTTAATGCAAGTAGATGATTTAAGATCCGGGTAATCTCACAGAATAACACTCGTATATATTGAGCTCGTAATGGTACTTCACAATTACAAAGTTTTTTCTACAGCTAAAGAATAAGCATGTTTCTAAGTTCTCATTTCTAATTTCTAAGTTCTAAGTTTTCTACGTTCTAAGTTTTCTAAGTTCTAACTTCTAAGTTCTAAGTTTTCTAAGTTCTAAATTTTCTAAGTTCTAAGTTTTCTAAGTTCTAAGTTTTCTAAGTTCTAAGTTCTAAGTTTCTAACCCATTAAAAAAAAAAAAACACCAGGGTGTTCACACGAGCCTAAGTTGACGAAGCTACTACTTTCCAAGGCTTGAGGCCTGCAACTGGGCCTGTCCAAAGTGGCCTGCCACTTTCGCTACTGGCCCAGGCCCGAATCAAAACGCTATAACCGGCAATTTACCGCGCAAACCGGTAAGAGCAGTACTCTGCTTCAGGGGAACTGGCGGTTTAAAGCAAAAGTCAGGTCTCTCCAACAGGGTCCCATTTAAAACTTGTGCCAGGCAGCCAGAGAGAATACCCAGCACCAGGAAAATTTTCACCAGCCACTGGCAGGCTGCAGTACAATGCATTTCGTTTCTGTGTTGCATTCCCTTCCCCCCCGCCCCTCCCACCCACCTGTTTGTAAAGAGGTTATGAGTTTGTATCCTGAGCTGTACAGGACTCCCTCTCCACCTCGTTCTTCCCCTGTCACCAGTTCATGTGTTGCACGTTGCCACGTACCCACTGGCTGTTTGTAAAGAGGTTACAAGTTCGAATCCTGGGTTGTAAAGATCACCACTCATCTATATTCTCAAAAGACGAAACGCAAGGAGAAAACCTGAAAACCCTTCAGAAAACGTTCAAACAAAGCAATGACTTTCTCAAAAACTAGCCGATTCATAAATCTGGAGAAAAATAGAAAACACAGCCTCACCTCTTCAAGCTCCGCCTTTGCTTCATCCACTCCAGCAACGTCACTGAACTTCACATCCCGTTGTAATCGTTTCTTGGCCTGCAACCACGACCACAAAAAGGACAAAGAAGACGACGGAAAAAAATGAAACCGTCACAATCCATAAACAATCTAGTAGCCAATTGCCCCCCCAAAAAGAAATATAAACTCTCTCTCCCTCTCTCTCTCTCTCTCTCTCTCTCCCCCCCCCCCCCCCTCCCCTCCACCCACCGACATGTGAACATGCCCTCGAATCACCAGAGAGGTAGACCATCAACCGGAGAGAACAATGGCCAGGCGATCAATGGAGAAAAGGTTAGCAACCCCCGCACACTCTGAAAGTTAAGACAACCAATACCGACAACGATTGCCCTGGGTACCAACGGTGCCTCTTTCTCAGCGGGTCTGTTGGACTGACGATCGGACGACCACAGGGTTTCTTCTTCCTGCCTGCAAGACTTGGCCCAGTTTTCCAGGAGGCAGTGGCATTTTGACACCCCATTTGCACCCCCACTTGCAAAGAGAAGAACACTGCCTCCTGGAAGTGCTTGCAAGATTCGGCCCAGTTTTCCTGCCAGTGCCTGCAACACTTGGCCCGGTTTTCCAGGAGGGAGTGGCCTTTTGACACCCCATTTTCACCCAGTTTTCCAGGAGGCAGTGGCGTTCTGACACCCCATTTTCCCCCAGTTTTACAGGAGACAGTGGCGTTTTGACACCCCATCAAACCAACACCCACACGGCAGTCGTCTCTTCAGACGAGGCAAGACTTCACCCAGTTTTCTAGGGGGCAGCAACTTCACCCCCCATTTTGATGCCTCATTTTGACATCCCATCCCCTTGCAAAGAGAAAAATGAGAGAACAACTGCCAGCAGCATCGAATCAACACCCACATCACAGTCATCTCTTCGGACAAGAGGGTTCATCTCGGAAAGAGAGAGAAGCGAGCATATATATCTTCTTGCAATCACCCAAACTCACAGCTGCTCGCCTGTTTGCACACGACACTAACTCATGCATAAGTGATGCATAACTTGTGCATAACTCGCACACAACGCGCTCGTAACTCGTGGATAATGAGCACACATTTAACTTATTCACGCACACATAACTCCAGCGTAGCACACACATAACCCTTCCGTAACTTGGCATAACTTTCACATAGCTCGCATGTACTCCCGTCAGACCATTTTTTTCATTATTCAATGATGTGGGCGCAATGTCCTGTCTCGCACGCCCCCCAACACCACAAGTCCATCCAAGGTTGCTGTTCATCCACTTTCATATGCGAGTACCGCCCGCGGACCGTTCGGCTCAGGGCCGGTAGAGCAACAGATGAACAATAAGTTCGGGCCCAAAATGTATGTGGGAGGCCCAGATTTGTCAACAATGCGGAGACCGGTACAGGTACCATGTTGATTTTTCCGATGGCTGGTACCGGTCACTTTTAGGCTTGGCAAAATGCATTTTTTGGTCGGCTCAGGGCCGGTAGGGCAACAGATGAACAATTCAGTTCGGGTCCAAAATGTCTGTGGGAGTTCCAGATTTTTGTCAATAACGCGGAGGCCGGTACAGGAACCATGGCTGGTACCGGTCACTTTTAGGCTCGGCAAAATGCACTTTTCCGTTCGCCGATTTAGCTTTGGACGAACTGGTGGTTTGATGACAACAACTAGATCTCTCCAACTAGACCTGGACGTCTATGAAGGAAACACTACAGAGAGTGCGCCCGTCTCAAAAAGTGCGAACTTTTTTATGTGTTGCGCATCGATTTTCTCGCAGAGCAGCCAGGAGAGTCTATGTATGCTCTATTATTAAGGTTGCTGCAATGAGGACGGATTGGAACCGGAAGAGAATCTGGGTGCCAGCCATAGCCAGTGCGTTCGGGCTCAACAATACTCAGTAATTTTTCAATGGCATTTATTGAAGGCTGCTCAAGCCAGCCGGGCACCCAAACGGACATCCAATTTCCTTGTTCGCATCAACTAGGCTGGAGTAAACCTCCAAAGTATAGAAGTTTCATGTGAAGTTTCCTATCAACCGTGATTTGCTACCAGTCAAGTTTGCACGGTTGTCTGTGTTTACCCCGCGCAATGGAGCAGTGTGGGTCACGTGCTGGATTGAGCCAGAGTGTGCGAGTAATACTGTCGCGTGCGTGTGGTGTTGTGTGTGTCAGGGGTGGGGTGGATATCACCCACCGGTATGGTGCCCCTTTTAACACAGTGTCCTGGCTGTGGTGGTTACAGTGCCGGTTCTCCCTGTGTGCACGGATCGGCCTGAGGCCACAGAGTTTGGAAAACTTTGAATCCATATATATTACATAACTACAAGTTTGCATGAGTAACTGTAATACTGCTGATTGGTGGAATTGCTTAGAAGTGTTGCTCAACAAAGGCAGTTCTAGCTTAACAAAGAATGTTCCAGCTCAACCTATTTATTTATTTATTTATTTATTTTAAAAGGGCCTGGGATCTGCACTCCAGCAAGTGATAACAGACGGGTTCCTTGCAATTTATTTATTTACCTATTTATTTATTAATTGTCTCTGTGGAAAAAGAGAATGCATGGCGTTCTGAATATGGGTAGCGAGGAGGTTATCTAAACAGTAAAAAGCTCTTTTAGGCATTTGGAAAGCACAACGAAGCTTCATAAGTACAAAAGATTCAAAAGAATATCCTTACCCTTATTATGTTAGTGTGCAAGTGCATCATCCACTTAAACAAATACAATTTCTGATAATTTTATTATTTGGAATCGTACATTATAAGTGACAGAGTGATAAGTCGGGCGGTGGAGTTTGTTGTCACACAGTACTACCTAATCGGAAAACGAGTTCTTCGGAAATTCAGTTTTGCTACGCAAGGGATGGGGCTCTGGCCGTCCGTTAGATAAGACTGTTAACACAGAATTAACAGTCTATCTGTGTTAACTGTTACCACAGTTACCACAGTTACCACAGTTACCACAGTTAACACAGATAGACTGTTACCTCTGTGTATCAAAAACTTTTAACTGTGTTAACTGTGTAGATAGACTTTTAACACAGTTAACAGTTTTTGGTACACACAAGGGATGGGGCTGTGGCCGTCCATTAGATAGACTGTTAACACAGAGTTAACAGTCTAGCCTATTTGTGTTAACACAGTTAACACAGCTAACAGTTTTGGTACACAAGGGATGGGGCTCCGGCCAATCAAAATGTTGAAAAAGAATTACAACAGAAGCGAAACGGCTCTGTTCTGCCGAAAAACTGGACATCCGCTTTTCTTTTCTCTTTTTTTTTTTCTTCTTCTTCTTCTTTTTTTTTTTTTTTTTTTTTTTGGACATCCGCTTTTCATCTATGTCATTTTTATTTTAACTTTCACAAAAACCAAGTTTGGTTCAGCGCTCTGCATACTCACACGACCGTCTTCACCCGAGTAGAACACCAGGTCATTATAGCTGCATCCGGACTCTGGAGTGAAGTTGCACCAAGTACAGCGTTAATGACCCGGGTGTTTTAGACGGTCTGACTTTTCTACTGATTTCTGGGCGTAATTGCAGTCAGATACATCACGGTATATAGCTGCAATTGTGGTCAGAAACATCCAGGAAAGTCCTACCGTCTTCACCGGAATAGAGCGTCCGGTCATTATCGCTGCATCTGGACTGACAGCTACTCCAAATACAGCCATAATGACCGGGTGGCCCCTTTGGGCGAAGACAGTAGAAAGGGACAGACTCCCATCTTGCGCTGCAGTACTCGACATGGACGACATCATCCGCCAATTGCTTATTTCGAAGTTCAAACCTCTTTTTTGAGGTTTTGGAACCTCTTTCCTTAACCATTTTTCTGCCTTTCTCCCTTTCTCCTAATTTGTTTGTTTAAAAAAAGAAGAAAAAAAAGAAGTCGTTTTTTCCGATTGCCTTCGTGCTTTTTCTCAACTTGTTGGATTCTACACTATTGCCATCCTGTCCCGAATAGAATATATATGGTCATTTTCTCGGTGTATCTAGATTCTAAACTGAATGTTGCCCCAAATACAGCCATAATGACCGTACGTTCTATACGGGGGAAGAGAGGGGCCGCGGGGGGGACACTGTACATTCCCAGGCAGGAGAAGGGGCGGGCACAGGGGAGAGAGGGGCCGGGGTGGGGGCAGGGTGCATGTCGTCAGCGAGTGAACGCTGCCATGCAGCGACCTTCCTACCTTGCTAGCACTATCACTACCTCCCATTGCCCTTCTGAAGAAGAGGAGAAGAGGCACCAAAGGTATCCAGAGAGCAAAGATTGTGTACAAGACGTTCCGCAATGCCGCACTGGGCGGCTGAGGAACTACAGCATGGGGAACCTTAGTGTCTCGTAGCATTGAAAGGAGAAAAGTCTCATCGCCTCTGCACAGAGAAGAGCATTTCAAACAGACAAATGACAACGTGTTGTAAGAGGGAAAGCGGGAGGCGGGAGGCGGGGGGGGTGGAGTGGGGGGGGGGGGGGGTGGGGGGGGGGGGGGGGGGGGGGGGGGGGGGGGGGGGGGGGGTGGCTTCCACTGCAATGTAGCTTCTGAAAGTGGGAACTAAAAAAAGTTGTGACCTCCAGAAGATCCCAAGCAGAAAGAACTTTACAAAACACGTAATCTCCGGTGAACAAACATCAGGAGACAACCGAGTACCCCCTCCCCCCCTCCCCCACCACACACACAGAAACACACACATCAGGGTTGGTGTGAGTAAGGTTCACCACCTTTCTCAGGGGTATCGCTAACTCTGGGCGATGTGGCGAGTGCTTATCCATCAGTCAAATGCATCCTAGGCCGACTGCCAGTGTTCAGCCTCCTGACGAGTCGGTGAAAGTCCGATGAAACACTCGCACACTCGTGCTTTTTTTGTGCAGTTGTGGATAGTGAACATGACAACACACACACACACACACACACACACACACACACACACACACACACACACACACACACACACACACACACACACCAAGCAGAAGGTACGAAAGAAGGAAAAGATTTGTGTTGCATGCACCCATCAGGAAACTGTCAAGTACACTGCGAGAACAGGGATTTTTGAAAGGGGACTTCATACACACGCACACAAACACACACATCAGACATCAGAAGTCATGTCAGAACTTCTATCATGTTATGATCCTGGCCAATTTCGAAGTACACATTCATCAGAGAGTACAATGCCGTCCAATTGCAAAAAGAAATGAATGAACTTGAGAGGAGAGAGACGGAAAGACGAAGAAGAAGACGAAGAAAGAAAGAAAGAAGAAGATGATGTCCACCAGCATAGACCTATGATAATGCTCTTCTTCTTCACCAACCACTCTCCTACTCCGTATCTCCTCCTCTCTTATTATAGACCAATGATAATGCTCTTCTTCTTCACCAACCACTCTCCTCCTCCTTATCTCCTCCTCTCTTATTCAATCAAGAAATAATAATAATAATGTTGAATGGCTGAACCAGAATCAATGTCCGAATCCCTCTTCTATTGCAGGTATCACATGAGGTCCACCATAGCCATGGCCGTCCTTCTTCCAAGGCCAAGGCTATGGCGGACTACCAGGGAATCGCCCTGCTGTGCAAAGGACAACACAAAGCAGCTATGGCTGCTCTAGCTCAGGCCGCCATGCCTGACTCTGCCTCGAAGCGTCTTGGTGTAGCTCTACCCCAACTGGGGCTTCCTGCTGCAGTGCCCACCAAGGTGATGAAGATGGCAACCAGCATAGCCAGGTAAGTAGCTCTCACGCTCCCCCTTCCTAGTCCCGGTATTATTCCTCCTCCTGTCCTTGCTCCTTCCCCAGCATCGCTGCGGATGCTAGCGCTCCAACCAGGGTGTCGCCAAACTTGCACACTGACAATGAGGAGCACCTTGCTCCTCCTGGCGATATAGCGGCCTGCTTGCCTCTTGGCGAGCGACTTCCTAGGCCGCACGGCCTCCAAGCAATCGGTACCTCCTCCCTTTCGGAGGGAAACATCATCGCAGACTGTAATATTGCCCGTACATGCCCTAGACTCGGACTGGTTGGACCAATACCCGCCTAGACCTAGCCTACAACTACTGGGCCTCTAAAAATGCCAACATTTTGTCTTCTTCTGCTCGGCCTCGAGTACCCGGCACATCTACCTCTACTTGGTATGGTACCGGTCTACCTGCTACTTGAGTGTTTTCCGCTGCTCTAAGTGTCGCGGGCCTCTTTCCCCGCCACTTGAGTGTTTTCCCTGCTGCAACCCTCAATGTCATGGCCACGAGTACCAGCCCTTCGGGCCTTCCGATCAACCAAGTGCCCTTGCGGGCGAGTCACACACACATTCAAGCCGACAAGCACTCAGACAGGCATGCAGACCAGCAAGCATACACCCACACAGACTTAGAAAACTCAGCAACAAGCGGGAAACTCAGCAAGGCATACATTCCATGAGCAAAACTCAGAAACCGGCTGTGTGTCTCAGTCCGTGTTTGGCAGGTCATTACAATCCCATTGATTGCAACATATGAGACACTTGCCCGGACCGGTCAGACAAGCTGCAATACTGATCACAAAAGCACCCCACAAAAAATTGCAAAGACAATGGTACAGGCGACCCCTTTACTGATCTCATTATTCATCTGCGTATGCAAACTGGAGAAAGCCAAAATCCCGTGTTTCACGAGTTCTATATACTTTGCCTTTCTACAGTTTGCATACAACATTCTTTAATAACCACATCGGCAAAAACAGGGTCCGCATCGTATTTAGCTAAATCACTACTCAATTTTTGAGTTCTGAATTGTTTTCAACTTTTCATAATGTGAGAATTCGACTTATTTTCGGTAATCCATCATTACATAATAACACATAAAAACTCAAATAAAATATGTAAATTGATCTAATTGAGGCATTTTTTTTGTTACTTTTTTTTTTTAGTGTGTGATTGTTCGCCAATTTCTTTGACTACGACATTCAAAATTTTTGGATTCATTTTTAAGATGATCGGTCAATTATTTGCTTTATTCGTATTAACTGTAGCTGTTGCAGAATCTGCTATTGGGCTCGCTATTCTTGTTATTACTTTTGGAATTCGTGGCACTATTGAAATCTACCCAAACCAAAACAAGTGGCCCATTTCCGCTTAAGAAAGGCGCCTAAAAAAGAGGCGCCTTAGATTAGAGAAAAGAAACAAACAAAAAAAGAAAAGAAGAAGAAAGAAAGACACACCTCGCCTAATCGGCAGAATGAATGAATAGCAGGCTACCCTATATTCAATAAATGAGTTTAATTTCTTATTAACAGGTAAAGCAGTCAGACTACCTGCACCAGCTTGGTCTGACATTTTAGCAGCTCTTTCTAATAAACGAGAATGTAGATAAAACACATCTCCTG